TCCTATCCACGTCAATTTTCCTTCGGTACAATCGAACAACACGACTCTGACACTTATAGTACCTCATCCGACAACCAACACGCACGATGATACTTCGACAGTATCTAAGAATAAACTTAAGACGACGCGTTCTGGAAGAAGAGTAAGATTTCCAGAACATTTAAACGACTGTTGCACGTAAGACACCAGTCAAAATTTAGTTTCATCTCGATTTTCCATGGCATTATATATAAAGTTTTTTAATATGCTTATATTTATATATTATTATTTGGCTAATATGTATATTAAAAATGTTTTTAAAAAACATTTTGTGAAAATTGCTTGTACGTTATTTACACTTTTTCTCCCATTTTGTGTCTTAAAGCGTACGAGCTTATTTCGACATGCACTTACATACTCGTTTTTTCTTTTCCAGAACGGCTGGAAAAGACGATAAAAAGAACGATGAGGTTTACGAGGAACCAAAATTTTGATTGTACATTATTTTCTTACTATATTGTACTTCATGGTCCCTTATAGTAAGGAAAGACGACCAGACGCTGCTAAACTTAGCAAGCTATCAGAAGAGTGTTTACCAACGACAAAACTCGTTGGGTTTAAATTTCTGGCTGGCCACGTCTTAGGGTCATCACCACCCAACTAAGGGGGAGTGATCTGTAGAGGTAAATAAATCCCCAAAATAAATAGGTCTGTAAATTTTCGACATTGGATGCTGACCACATTAGTTTTAATGGACTCACCTAACTGAAGGCGCTTGGTCATGCATCCGCACCAGATCACGTGTGGGAACGCCGTGCTCAACATCTACTGCAATCGCTAGCCAGACTAGATCAGACAATTCCGATATATTGACAATCGTCAAATACAACTTCTGATCCCTTCGATTCTGTCTTTTTATTTCTCTTGGTGGGTACGATTCATATTAGGTGTTACTGGTAAAAGCGTTGTCAAACACTGAATACCTGTGCCATCTTCATTTGAAAGGTATTACACACTATCATGCAACAGAGACTGAAGGATTTCGAATCCTCTAATCATTAAGTATGGCCCTCTGTTAAAATAAAAACTAATCGTAAGCTACCAGTAGTTAAAATACAGGATCTAACGTCACGGTCGAAAGCTGTGAACACAGTTTCAAAAGAAGCTAAACCCATCCCTAGTTTAATTATTTGGAATCTAGAGGAGTCGAAAGACAACGACCCTGCTAAAAGACACGCACATGACCTACAGTTAGTGGAGTCTGTGGTCAGGAATGTACTACCTGAAGAGGTTTCAGGGGTACATATTACAAAAGTAATACGACTTGGTAAATGGGTTGGAGGCGAGACCCAACCAAGAAGGATCCTGAAGCTGGTTCTCGGGAGTTTCGAAGAAAGAGACATATTATTGAAAAGCGCACAAAAAACTCGTGCCTCAAATATCCGTATTCGACCAGATTGGCCGCTTGAGGATCGAATCAAGTGGAAGAATGCTCTTACGGAGTTGAGGACTCGCAAATTAAATGGCGAAAATAACCTTACCATTAAGGGTTTTCGGGTAGTCAGGTCTTGGAAGCCAATGCTTCCGAGGCCTGTATGGGTAGAACGATTGATTTCCAAAACACCTTAAGTGTGTGCTACACGAACGCTCGTAGTCTTAGAAATAAAACGTCCGAGCTAAGTCTGATGGTGCAAGAATTATGTCCCGATATAATCGTTGTTACAGAAACTTGGTTCACCGTTGATATAGACTGTTCTCCTTTCATTGCTGGTTATATCTGTATCAGAAGTGATAGAGTTTCAAGTCGCAAGGGGGAGGTATAATATTTTACGTTAGGGATCACTTTCGTATACAATCAACCATATCGGAGGCTCATATCAGTGGCACATGTGAGGTTGCATGTTGTAAGATTAAATCTAGAAATGGGTTAGTGACTATAGGGGGAATATACCGTAGTCCGTCTTGTCTGGCTGACGACTTTATCCTAAGACACATCTGTTCTTGGAGTATGGCAGAATGTTGTCTCATCATTGGGGACTTCAACGCACCGCATATCAACTGGATAGAGCTTACAGCTCCAGGTAGCGGTTTCGATAGCGACCTTTTATCTACCGTTATTCAGTGTGCACTTGTACAATGTATCACAAAACCGACACATATTGATTTGCATCATGTTCCGTCACTGCTGGACCTCGCCCTCACCCACCACTCTGAGGATGTCTTTGATATCCAGCACCTTCCTCCACTAGTGAACAGTGATCACGTTGTAATTCACTTTAAGTTTAGGACACATGGTATACAATTCGTATCTGCTCCACCCCGTCCCAATATCTGGCGAGCTAATATTCCGGAAATCAGAAACCGTGCTATCTCGACTGATTGGTCGGTCGACGCGGATGGATTGATCGAAGATGAATGGAATAAGTTTAAGGCTACATTCGAGTCCGTAACGTCGCCGTTTATCCCATGGTCAGCACGTAAGCTATCACATTGCCCTCCATGGATTAATAAGGAAACCCGGAAGCTGTTAAAGCGTAGGAAACATTTCTGGGACTTATTCTTGTTGACAGGTCATGCACCATTTAAGCGTGAGTATCAAAAATACCGTAATATCTGTAAGAAAACCATAGCGAAATCCCGTACCACTTACGAACGACAGTTAGTATATGATAGCCGTACTTGTCCGAAACGATTGTTTTCGTATGTTAAACGGCAAATGAAACGTAGTGATGGTATTCCCCCGTTGCTGTTACACGAAAATTCAGAATTACTAGCTGAATCAGATCGAGCAAAAGCTGAGACTTTTTCAGATTATTTTAGCGAAGTCTTCTCTACGTTTATTGTAACAAATACTTGTCCCACTCACACCGAGATACCAACCATTGAATCCGTACAGGTGACTGAGGAAACTGTCCTTCCGTTGATAACTAACCTCAAACCTGGTAAGATACCGGGCCCTGACGGGTTACATCCACGGTTGCTGTCATCTCTTGCGGACATTATTTCAAAACCGCTTGCGACACTCTTCAACATGTCCCTCTCACTCGCCCAACTCCCTAGAGATTGGAAGGACGCTATAGTTAGTCCTATATTTAAGGACGGTCAGCGACAGATAGTATCTAACTACCGGCCTGTCAGTCTAACTAGCATAGTCGTTAAGTTACTCGAAAAGATAATTCGGGTTAGGTTGCTAAGCCACATAGATTTACACAATCTGTTAGCTCCTGAGCAACACGGATTTCGTAACAAGCGTTCATGCTTGACTAACTTGCTTATTGCGAGGGAGGATTGGACAGCAGCCCTAGATCACGGTCTGTCTGTCGACGTGATATTCATAGATTTTAGCAAAGCGTTTGACAAGGTTTCACACGTAGGTCTTATGCAGAAGCTCACGAGCTTCGGAATAATAGGTACTGTACATGAGTGGATAGGAAATTTCTTATGTGACCGCAGACAGAGAGTTAGGGTCAATGGAACGCTATCCGATTGGAAGCCGGTCAAAAGTGGTGTACCCCAAGGCACCATCTTAGGCCCTCTGCTCTTCCTTCTCTACGTTAATGAGTTACCACTGTTACTTAGGTCGTCGACATTATTGTTTGCAGATGATGTAAAAATCTGGAGAACAATAAAAAGTGCGGCTGATCATGTGGATCTTCAAGCTGATTTAGACGATTTAGTTAGATGGGCTCGAGAGTGGGGCTTAGAAATTAATGCTAGGAAGAGTGTACTAATGCACGTCGGTCACGGTAATAGTTACCGTTACACTATTGAGGGTAAACCTCTTCCATGCGTTCAAGAGCATAAGGACTTAGGAGTAATATTAAGTCATGACTTAAAAACAACTGCGCATTGCAAAGCAGCCGCTGTCAAAGGTTTTCGTGCGTTATGGTCACTTCGCCGAGCGTTCAAATCTTTTGACGAGGAAACGTTTCGAATTTTATACCCCATATATGTAAGACCACATTTAGAGTACTGTATCCAAGCAGCTAGCCCGTGTCTAGTAAAGGATACTAACTCCCTTGAGCGTGTCCAGCGTGTGGGAACGAAATTAGTGAAGGGTCTTTCTAGTCTCCCTTACGATGAGCGCTTAAAACGCCTAAATCTTTTCCCCTTGTCGTATCGTAGGACACGAGGTGACCTTATACTGGCATTTCGTATCTTTAATTATGATTTGGGTGTTAATATGTCTTATCTTTTTGCTCCCTCCAGCACTAATAATCTCCGAGGTCATAGCAAGAAGGTTCATAAACCACGATCTAATAAACTTAAAGTGGGATCCCGTTTTTCTCATCGAGTAGTCAATCATTGGAACGCCTTACCCGAACAAGTGGTATCAGCCCCATCAGTGAATACTTTCAAGGAAAAGCTGGACCTTCACTGGAAAGCAATGTGTCAGGATTAACACAGGTTCATCAACCTACTATCCTTATTACTGAAGACTGAAGACTGAATGCTAAGATCCGTCTGATTATGTATCTAGTTTTCACTCTATGGCGAGAGGTCGACGAGATCATACATATTTCCCTCGTCATTTAGAAGGACTAGAGGTGACTATCACTTTTTAAGTTACTGCTAAATTTGAACCTGATATCCCATCATCTGAGTTTCCTCCGAAGCAAAGGGTTTAGGAGAACATTCGCAAACTTAGATCAAATCACTTGTCAGCTGACTATCAACTTTCCCAACGAATAATCGACTAGTTACTTGTGATTGAAGCTACATCTGTCGACGCATTCAAAAGTAAGTTAAATCAACCGAGAAAAAACCATCGTCAGGGCTAAAACTGTGCAATCAGTCCCCTGTCGTTTCCAAACTGAAACTGAAACACAAAACTGGAGTGGGCTACTATGATATACTGAAAGCTGTATAAGCAATCAAAAAAGAATGTACCACTTCCAGTCCCGCTGATTTCCCCATATCCAAATATCTTTATGTCTTCAGTCAATCGTCATCGTTGAGGTTTACAATGACTCGCCGATTTTATAACGTTGCTTATGAAGCTAGTCCCACTTTTAAAAGTTCACTAGACGCGGGGGGTTCGGCTTCGCCGTTATATGTTTCTGCCCAACCTTAGGTGCCGTGTAGTTTTCTTGACTTATCTTAGTATGTCTCGGACTAACAAAAGTGAGAGACAGTTTATATATTTTCTCATTCTTCACAGGTCATAGGCCACCGGGTTTGAGAGGAAAAGAGATAGGTCTTTGGCATGCTGCTCAATCGAAAAACCGATGCAAAGGTGATTTGGACTACCAGACTAAGGTATGTTCAGTCGAATGTAATTCACCTCTTTAAAAGTGGAATATTCCACCTGCCGTAACGCGGCCTTTGGACCCACTAAAAGATTTCATTCCATTACTGTTACCCCTACTGTCCTAAAGTTAGAAAGGTTATTTAGCAGGTTTTATATGGTATGTCTCACCGATAGCCTAGGTTTCATTTATCAGTGAAAAAGGAATGTTTCAAAATTTGTGACACCTAAGGATAACTGTTTTACAAATACTTCGGATACGCTCCTCTAAGTTACATGTTCCATAACAAATATGGATTTGTTTTTTTCTATTTATGGGGGACTGTGCAATGTTATGCGACAAGTTGACTGTGAGAGAGTTTTTCATCTTTAATATAACCCTAAACCCCCTCCACACTTCAATCGATCAGGTTTTAGTTCTGTCCTGTATTGTATGTCCCAGATTTTCTGGTTGGAGTCCTCGTAGTTATCACAATACCACAGAGATGACAGCTTAAAAACACTTGTAAAGGAGGAGGTGTATATGTTGTCTACCTCCCTTTCAATCTTCAACTTAGTATTATTCCCTACCCTACGTTCATTCCCTTTACTAAGTTTCCCATCTTCGTTGGTAATGTTTTGAGTAGTTGTTTTTCATCTACCTAATTTCCTCTTATGTCGATACATTTATGCGACGCCGTGTGTTTATTATCTAACTGCCTAATTTTATCGTGTTCAAATTGTAGGGTTTTCTCGAGAAGTGTAGGCGTTGTTGCTTGTGCTTCTCAAGTTCACCTTTTTTATTGAATGACTAGTTTTGCTATTGGACAAAACGATATAAAACCGTTTATTATTATTATTATTATTATTATTATTATTATTATTATATTTGAACACATATATATTGGCACAGGAGTGCGCCAAATATATATGCGCCACACAAAACAATGAGAATTTGAAGAGAAGGGAAAAAAGGTAAGGAGCGTAAAACAAGAACAATAACGAACAGATTAGTGTAATATAGTGTGATAATAATAATGGGGGAAACAGAAACGTACAATCAGAAGAGATCTTTCAGTTAAGGAAGAAGCAACCACTTTTTATGAAGAAAGGTTACAGCAGGATCGCCACTGGCTTCTGTTCTGAGCCATATCTGATAACGTCTCTAGCCACTGTGTAGCACCATCTCTCGGACCCCATTCAGGGAGTCGTGAAGGACCGACAGAAGCCAGTCCTTTGCAGCTTTCTTTCATACCACGACACCATGTCATGCATTGACCACCTCCGCTTTTTCCAACCAGTCCCAGAGTCGGCAAATAATGCACGGCGTGGAATTCTCTGGGACGACATTCGTAGAACATGTCCAAGCCACCGAAGTCGGTGTTTCAAGATGGTGACACCAATTGCATTATCGTCTCTGTGCCCGAACACACGATGCCGAACCTCTGCATTACTAACATGTTGTTACCACTGAATGTCAGCAATCCTTCGAGACAGCGATGATCGAACACAGAGAGTCGTCTAACGTCCTCAACTCGGAGAGGTCAGATTTCACAAGCATAGAGCAAAAACTGCTCTCACCGACGCGTTCTAGGTGCGACCTGTTACACTCAGACTGACATTACGAAGGCGCCAAAGATGGTCCAGATTGGCATATGCCGCTCTGGCTTTCACTATACGTGCATTGATCTCATCACTCACACCCCCACCAGCACTTATGCAGCTACCCAAATACACGAACTCCTCGACTATTTCTATCTCCTCACCATCCAGGGTGAGTACAGGATTAGAATCCTGCCAGTCTTGTAGAAGTAATTTGCACTTCGAAGATGCAAAGCACATACCATACCTACGGACACTGATTGCCAACTGATTAAGTGCGGATTGCATGCCTTGGGCATTATCGCACAGTAAGACAATATCATCCGCATACTCAAGGTCGATAAGTCTTTCTCCAGGCAACAGATCCACACCACCATTACTTACATCCATCAGAGCTGTTTCCAGAATGTCATCGATGGCAAGGTTGAAGAGGAATGGTGAGATTGGGCAACCCTGCCTAACCCCACTGCTCGAATAGAACAATGGAGAGAGGTGGTTGTATGCCCTCACTCTGCCTGAGGTGTTTGTATATAGGGCTTTTAGGATGTTAATAAACTTCTCAGGCACACACACATCTAGGCCAGGTGATTTGTAACGCTTCAAGAGTTGGAGTTCCTTGCGGACTTCCTTCTCGTTTGGTGGATCAGTCGTCACCGGCCATGGAGGACAGGACAGTCTGACCGATGTTGCTGGAGCAGCAGGCCAGTTGAACTGCCCTTCGAAAAATTCTGCCCATCGTCCAAGAAGTCGATGGATGTTAGTGATTGGCATCCCATCATCCTCGCAGTTTGTTTCACTCACACCAGACTTCTTGCTGCCAGTGACTCGGATGAGTTGGAAGAGCTTCCGGTAGTTACCAGATGCAGCTGCTGCTTCCAGCTCATTAGCACGCTTCGACCACCGGGCTTCTCGGTCCTTACGCAAGCTTTGCCCAATTTCCTTACGTAACATCCTTCGTTTATGGTCAAACTCACGGTTATCCGGAGTAGACCGACGGGCTTCAATGAGTTGTAAGGAGCCTGAAGAAACCCAGTGCTTATAAGCGGGATGTTTCGCAAACCCACAACTGACTGTACCCGCCATTTTCATGGCGTCATGCAATTGCAACCAATGCTCATCTATACTTTTCGGTGGAATGGTAGCTAGCCTAGAGGCTAGCTCGGTTCGACACTTACTAGCAACAGAAGTTGCAACCAGCTTGCTAATATCAATCCGTTGATGGCGGTCACTTCGTTGTCCACTGAAAAGTAAGGCAAGATTGGCGCAGACCAAGGCATGATCAGAGTCCAGATAGGTACTCCAAAAGGAGCGGCAGTCTTGTACACAACCACGCCAGCGGTAGCTGATCGCGATGTGACCAATCTGAGTCCAGGCTTGAGATGCAGAGGGAGGACGCCAGGTGGCACACCGGCGACGACTGTGCCGAAAGTTAGTGCTGGCCGGAAACAGGTTGTAGTCTGTGCACAGTTGCAGTAGACGGTCCCCGTTATCTGTCCTACGACTAACAAGTCCCCATCGACCACCTAAACGACTCTCTTCTGTGCCTAGACGCCCGACCTGAGCATTCAAGTCTCCGGCTAGTACTACAATATCTGTCGAACGCACTTTCTGGAGAAGAACTGATAACTGGTGGTAAAACTCATCCTTGATTGCATCCGGGCTGCAATCTGTCGGGGCATAGGCGGAGATGACGAAGAGACATCGTTTCTCATGCCGATTTCTTCTAACTTTGATGGAACTTTCTAATCTAACAGTACATAACCGACTGTTAATGGGGATCCAATCGATTAGTGCTGCCTCAGCTCTAGCGCTTAGTGCGACACCAACGCCAGCAAGACCAGACGAAGATGCCACAGGGTCCCCGGATAAGCGTACGTAAAACAAGCTTTTCTAAGCGACAGATGGAGATCGAATTTGTAGTACTTCGCCAGAGTCTTGAATGCGGGTCTCGGATAGACAACAAACATCAATATTAAGACTTTCTAAAGACATAGCCAGCCCTATCTGTTGTCCAGCCTGCATAAATGTGCGAACGTTGAAGGCAGCTAGTTTGAATGGTGCACGTGGTTTCAGAAAAATTGCTTCAGTACTCATATTCGGTGGTAACATACAATTTTCAACCGGACAGTGACTCGAAAACGTTTAGATACAGTCGAATTTCCACCATAGACGAACTGCTGTATAAGTCGAGAAAAGAGACACCAGGGTAGTATCCCAGCTCTTACATAAATCGAATAATTTATGTGGCGTATATCTGTTTGATGCCTCGTTGTACCAATATTTATGTGTTTAAATAAATAAAATCTGGTAACAGGTGAAACTAACTCAGCGTAAGTTCCAAGCCTTACGAGATCTACTCAGAGAAAAGGAGACTACTATGAGGAACAACTGGAAAGGGTTGAAGAAACAATAACTTTAACATGCCATGGAGTGAAGGGCTGCAAGAAACATCAGCATAGAGTTTATCTCTGTTGATACCCTGGATGAGATTCACGAAAGAGAACAAGAAGACAGGAATCAACAGCTGAACAAGAGTAACCAAAGTCAAGGCATAGGCCAAATACACAGCCAAATAGGCAAGTGAAAAGGAGCATTAAAACTGATGAGCGGAAATATGAGGAATACCTACGAACGAGAGACGGAAAACTGCAAGGAGATATGAGACAACTAAACTATATGACAAAAAAATAACAAGGAAATATAGTAAACCAGTGCGACCAGTTTTTTTGCTTAGCGTTTTTTTAGCCGTAAATTGAAAATGCTACACTTCGGAACCTGACTAAACTCAGCACATGGGTAGTAATTTCTTAACTACAGGAAGTATGAGTAGGCAGCAAATAGATCTGTTGGTGAATATGATACTAAAGATAACTTTCTTTTTGTTTTTAGCCGTTCTGTCTATTTAACTTCCTTTTATGAGTTGTATCAGGGAATTAAGCTGACCTATACATCAAAGTGTAAACTAAGGTTGACCGAAACCGTCTCTGAAATATCAAGTTAGTTTCACCTGTTACCAGATTTTATTTATTTAAACACATAAACATTGGTACAACGAGGTACCAAACAGATATGCGCCACATAAATTATTCGATTTATGTAAGAGCTGGGATACTACCCTGGTGTCTAAACCGAAGCAGGTTGTTTTTTAGGAGACCACACCCAAGCCTTTGACCTAAATGCCCAATCCACAAGTCAGTGGAGCAACGTCAGGAAATGCAGCCCCATGTTACCTGGTGACCGACAATTGGTTCATATGCCATTTGTTTCCTCAGGATACTTGAGCCCATGTGCACCATTAGTTTGGAATCAAGGATTTCCGACTCCCCTAGATGGATCCTTCGTATCCACTAGCCCGGTTAAAGCGCCTGACGTTCGCTTTTCGTCCTCTCGATTTCGTAAACAGCACTCCCCTCAATGAGAAGGCAGTGAG